TAACTCATGAGTTATTAAGATGAGTAAACAATGAGTATGTTGGTTTTAGAAGTAATTACCCTTTATGGGTGAAACATTAATAAATTTGTTATTTCATAGCTTATTAAGTCTGAATCATCCTTAATTAATGATGCTTTCAGGGTTAAATAACCCTTTATTAATGATTAATTAAGGCTAAATAAGGTGTATTTATTATAAAGTTTTACCAAAAACTCTTCAAAATGGTTTTAAACTATGAATTTTAAGTTAAACTACATTTTTAAGAATGATGATGATGCTGCAGGTTTATTTGTTTTAGACGTTTAGAGGATAAATTATTGTTAGAACATATTTCTTCAGTTCTGATCTGGTTCGGTCTGTTCCTGGTTAGAGAGTCTGGTCAGAACCGTTGTCTAACAGCCAGAGCAAACCAGCAGCAGAACTCTGGACCAGCTTTAGGACACGTCTCTGACTTGTCCTTCAGTGGCTCAGCCAAAGCCAGGCAATAAATCCCAAAGCCCATCACAGTGTGGACAGGCCTGAGGACGGCACTTCACAGGATCCGGTCCCAGGGATTTTTAGATTATGTGTCTGGGAGAATGGGATGAAATGCCCAAATCCAGGACAGCAAAGCTGGATAAAGATTTTTCCCGGAGACTTAGTGCTGTGATTTGGACTGAAGGTGTGCAAAGAGCTGCAGAGTGGGAATACTTCAGCACATTAGAAATTTAAATAAATGATAATCTGTTTAAATTTAAATATTATATTATAAAATGTTCTCCATCTTTGTGCCAATTGATCCTTTAAAGTAAATTTATAAAGTGTTTTACAGCTTTACTACTAGAAAACAGTTTACAGGTTCTTATTTTTTTCTGTTTCTTTCTTTCCTTTAGGCGGACATGAACAAAGTGCGCATTGATGTAGCCAACCAGAGAGCCAATAAGCTCATCAAATAAACCTGGAATCTAACTTCTGCTCCTCTTCTCTTCAACTTTAAACCTCCTTTGCTTCGTACATGCACATCATATTTCTGCACATGCACAGATAGACACTCTGTCTTCAGAAAGAAATTTGGTCCTGAAGGAGTTTTGCCAGCAGTGTGTTGTTGACTCCATCTGAAACACACACACGTGTGTGTATATATAGTGATGCTGGACTGATGGAAGCAGAGCGGGAATCAGAAACCTGAACCAAAGAGGAAGTAGCAGAGCTGCTGTTGATACCAAACCCACAGCAGATCCATTACATCACTGTGAGGGAAGAAGCTCAAGTTAGCTGTTTTCTGTCTGCTTTTTCTTCCTGATATTTGTTTATTGTTCACAAGAACTGCTTCCCTCTGTGTGTGTGTGTGTGTGTGTGTGTGTGTGTGTGTGTGTGTGTG